TGAAAGAGAAGAGCAATTCGAAATTTAAATATAAAGCAATACAAAAATAAAATCCAGTTTTACAATAATTTATTCTCCATGCCTTTGTTTTATGGTCACCAATTTAGGACATACAGATAAACATAGACACATCTGTATCTCTCCAAATACAAAACCTTTAAAAGTGATTCCAGACAGGGGGAACATGGCAATGTCTTTCAGAGAACAGGACAGTACTGCATCAGGAATTAACCAGAATGGGACTGAGGAAGTAGAGGGAAGCTGAGCCCTGCAGGGTGAGAGAGTGGTGGGGAGGGGATGAGGGTTGGGTACCTGGCAGAGGGATCAGCCTATGCAGAGGTGAGAGAGGCTCAGTCCAGCAGCAAGGCCGGGGTGGTGGAAAGACAGTTGAAGTTCAGTGATAGCATGCAGAAGGTCCTAGATTCAGGAGGAGGAGGAAGAGAGAAAGAAAGAAGGAAGGAGGGAGGGAGGAGAGAAGGAAGGAAGGAAGGAAGGAAGGAAGGAAGGGGTACTTGCGAGGCAGAGGTAGGAGGATTGCGAACTTGAGGCCAGCCTGGGATTCAAAGTAAGATCTATCTCAAAGAACAAAACAAGCCAGCCACTGATGGTGCCCACCTGTAATCCTAGTTACTCAGGAGGCTGAGATCAGGAGAATCTCAGTTCAAAGACAGCCTAGGCAAATAGTTTGCAAGACCCTACGTCAAAAAAAAAAAATCACAAAAAAGGTCTGGTGGAATGGCTTAAAGTGTAGGCCCTGAGTTCAAACCCCAGTGCCACAAACAAACAAACAAAAAACAAATGGACAAAGGACTTAAGTAGACATTTGTCCAAAAAGATACTCAGACTATTTTCTACTGATATCAAGAAGGACATGAAAAGATATTCACTGGTCATTAAGAAAATGCAAATCAAAACACAATAGGAAACAACTTCACATCCTCAAGGATGTCTTTAATTTACAAGATAGAAACTAAAGCTGGGCATGGTGGTTCACACTTTTAATCCCAGCACTAGAGAGACTGAGACAGGAGCATTGAAAGAGTTTGAGGCCAGCCTGAGCTACATAATGAGATTCTTCTCAAAAAGCAAGCACACACACACACACAAACCAACAAGGGTTGACAAAGATTTGGAGAAATCAGAACCTTACGCTGCTGGTGAAAATGAAAAATGGTGCAGTTACTTTGGGAAACTGTGACAGCCTGTCAGAAAGTTATTGTATAACCCAGAAATTGCACTCTCAGATAAATAATCAAAAGAAAAGAAAACAAATGTCCACACAGACTTGTACACTAGTGTCCACAGCATTATTCATATTCACTCAACGGCCATCAACTTATGAATAAATAAACTATGGTACTACCTACCATGGAATATTACTCAGCCATAAAAAGGAGCAAATAATTGAAACTTGCTGTAACACAAATGAACCTTGAAGCATTATGGTAAGTGAAAGAAGCCAGATGTAAAAGGTCACATATTGTAAGGTGCCATTTACGTGAAATGCCTAGAATAGTCAACGTCATAAAGACAGAAAGACTACTGAGGGGATGGGGGAAGGGGGAGTTGGGGGCAATTACTTAGGGACACGGGTGTTTTTCTGAAGCGATAAAGTTTTGAAACCAGACAGATGGTGGTTGCACAACTTTGTGAATGCACTAAATGCTACCAAGCTGTTCACCTTACAATGGTTAATAACATGTTATGTGGATTTCACCTCAATTAAAAAAGAAAACTTCAATTTAAAAAGAGAATGGAAGCTGAAAACATAAACATTACCTCCGATGCCCTGGTGGCCCTGAGAACCCGCCGGACACCAAACACACTTGTCCTTTGCCTCCTTTGGCTGTAGTCCAAGAGGTGGGGATGCTCTGGGCTCAGAGAGGGGAAGCCACTGAGCCAGGTTCACACAGCTGCCAAGGAACAGCAGCGGGGGCTCTCAGGCCTCCCTGCTCCCCAGTCTCCCAGCAGTCACCAGGGCCCCCTGGGGTTCTCCCCTGACTCCCTGGACAGGAGCTAGTGAGGTCAGGCACCAGGAACGTCTGTGCGGCCACAAGGCAGGAGTTAATGACTGAGGAGGCTGGAATGTGCTGCCACAGAAAGGACCTCTTGTGGCTCCATGACGGTTAGAGCAGAAAGGGGTTTTCAAAGTCACGTACGCACACACACACACACACACACACACACACACACACACACACACACACACGAGACCTGCGCCCCTGCTCAACCAAGGCAGGGTGATGACTGAATATAGTCAAGACTGACCCATGTCAAGCCTCATATGTGCCACTGCCTGGCTGTCATCTTTCTAGCTTGGACCAACCAGGGAGCTCCAATGTCAGCATGTGTGTGTGTGTGTGTGTGTGTGTGTGTGTGTGTGTGTTTACATAAGATCAAAAACTCCCATCGCTAGGGCTTTGTGCTCGCCTGTGCGTTTATCTTCACTACTATTGGTTAACTTCTTACCATATGCCGTGCTAAGCATGGGACATTATTTTATCGCTATCCTCCAGCAACCCTGAGATGTAGTTATCATCACATCTCCATTTTACAGATAAGGAGACAAAAACTCAGAGAAATTGTGTACCTCAGCCATGCATCTCTTTTCCATGGGTCCCACTGCCTCAAAATCCCTCTCCCTCTCCTTCCCTTCGGCCCCCCGCTATGTCTATATTTCTCATTCTGGCAAACTGCTGTGGTTCCTTTTCTTTCTAAAGGAAGACAGCACTGAGTAAAACCAGGCCAAGGGAGGGGTGTAGGCTAGTAATCACCTGAGTGCTGAGCACTTTACAGCTTACAAAGCACTTTCACATCCATGATCTCATTTGATCCTACAGCAGCCCTATGATGACAGCAGGAAGGCAAAATTGGGACTGGGACTCAGGAAAGGTGGCCTGCCCCGAGTCACACAGAGAGATGATAGCTCTGGGTAGCCCAGGGGCAAACTGATCTCCTGACCCTAAGTCCAGAGGGTGTCCAGAACCCCTGTCCTCTGTTCCAAGGAGGGCAGTCCCAGACCCCACCTTTCCTAGGGCAAAACTGGAGTCGATTCATGGGAGATCCAGGTGGAAACACAGGAGAGCCCTGCCCTTTCTGTAGTTGTGTAAGCCTGGCAGCTCCTTCCTCTCTTTGAGCCTCAGTTTCCTTATTTATAAAATGAGAGGAAGAAGAGAAGCTTTGGGACTCTCCGCCTTGACATTCTGCACACGCACAAAAGTGTGTGGGAGTGTGAAAAATCTTGGCTGAGCCTAGGCTTAGAGCCCCATAATCCCTGATTTAGCCATCTGCTTCAGTCACTCACTTAGTGACCATGGGCAACTCTTTTCAGTACTACTCAGCCTCAGTTTTCCCATCTGTAAAATGGGTGATGATGATACCTACTTTCCCAGCACATATGGTCAGAGCTTCACACTCACACAGACCTTTCACATACTTTGCTAACTAGGCTGGTGACACACAGTCCTGAAGCTGTGTTGATCAGACCTCAGGATGCCTGTGTCCATCTGCAGGCTCTCACTGCCTGGCAGAGGCTTGAATTAAAATAGTTCCTGACATTATCCTGAGTAACACAACTCTACTTTATTATACTTGTGGGTAGTTCAAAGCATCACCTTGTTTATTGTGAACATTTAAAATATACCAGCACTTTTATAACCCTAATTTGTCATTTATTCATTTTTTTAGTACAGCTGAAGCCTTAAAACAATACCAATCTGGCCGGGTGTAATCCCACTATGGAGAAGGTGGAGGCAGAAGAATTGAAGAGTTCAAGGACAAGCTGGGCACCAGTGACTCACCCCTTTAATCCTAGCTACACAGAACGCAGAACGCAGAGATCAGGGGGATGGCAGTTCGAAGTCACCCTGACAAATAGTTCGTGAAACCCTATCTCAAAAATACCCAACATGAAAAAGGGTTGGTGGAGTGGCTCAAGGTGTAGGCCCTGAGTTCAAATCCCAGTACCAAAAAAAAAGTTCAAAGTCAGCCAGGGCTACGCAGTGAGACCCTGTCTCAAAAAATGAACAACTAGCTGGGTGTCAGTGACTCACAGCTGTAATCCTAGCTACTGAGGAGGCAGTACGATGCCAGCCAGGGCAAATAGTTAGCGAGACCCTATCTCGAAAATACCTAACACAAAAAAAAGTGCTGGTGCAGTGGCTCAAGGTGTAGGCCCTGAGTTCAAGCCCTAGTACCGCAAAAAAAAAAGAATGTCAGTGGTTAGTGGAGGGTCCTCAAGTCACGACCCGTGAAGTCTGTAAAGTTCCTGGCGTGCAAATAAACACCCAGTAAATAATAATAATGGTAATCCGTCACATTTAAAATTCAGTTTACAGGGCTGGGATGTAGCTCGGTGGTACAGCGCTTGCCTAGCATGCGTGAGGCCCTGGTTTCGATCCCAGCACCAAAAAAGAAAAGACAAAAAAATAAATAAATAAATAAAATAAAATTCAGTTTACAGTTTCAGATAGCTCACAGTCTTCCTTCCAAACCCCCAAGCGCGGCAAGGCTCCGCGTCCTGTTTTACGGACGGAAACCGAAGGCAGCCCAGGTCGAAGGGGCGGGGGTCGTGGCGGGCTCGGGGTCTGCGATCGGGGGGTGGGGGTGGGGGGAGGGGGAGGGAAGCAGGGCGGGGGGGGGGGGGCGGGGGGCGGGGCGGGGCGGGCGCGGCGGGCGGAGCGGCCGATTTCGGGCAGGTGCGCAAAGCCGCGGCGGGGAATCCTCCACTCTACCTGGGCACGGTGAGGAAATTGCACCATGTATGGGCAGCTACGTCAGAGGGGGCGGGCCCGCCGCGGTCGCTGGGGGACGCCAAGTCGGCCCCTTTCCCCCGAGAAAAGGCGGCTGCTGACGGTAGGAGGGGTGGAGAAGTTCGATGAGGAGTGACAAAAGGCGGCGCGTCTAGAGAGGTGGGGCTCCGAGGTGACCCGCGGCGCTGCGCAACGCCCCCACCTCCCGCGGTCCAAGTGGTTCAGCCCGAGAACTTTTCATTCATAAAAAGAAAAGACTGCGAGGCGCGAGTGAGTCAGAACCCAGCCGCCGACGCGGACCCCGTGGAGCAGCCAGCCCAGGGCATGTACCGAGACTTCGGGGAACCGGGACCGAGCTCCGGGGCGGGCAGCGCGTACGGCGGCCCGGCGCAGCACCCCGCCGCGGCGCAGGCGGCCGCCCAGCAGCAGGTGAGAGCGGCCGGACCCCTTGGGGTCCCCGGGTGGATGGCGCTTGGGACTCTGTGTTCGGCTCCGGTGCGCTACCCGGCTAGGGTTGGGAACAGGAGTGGGGACCAGGTCTGGAGGCCAGGACCGATGATCCTGTCCATTCTTCGCTGTCCAGGGGCTGATTACTCCCCACGACCTAGGGATACACGCGATGCGGTCGGAACAAAGATCCCCCCGTCTCGCCTGCCCCCTTATTCCTCACTGACTATCCATCTGTCTCTCCGTCTCCGTTACCGTCTTTCTTTCTTCCTGTCCGCTGCTAAAATCTGTGTCCCACCTGCCTCACCCTGACCCGGATCGGATCAGACGAGCTTGTCACCTTGGGCTGAAGTCCTGGGATCCGGAGTCTGGGCTTTGGCGGAGACGTCAGGCACAGGAGGGAGATGGAACCCATGAGAAACCAGCCTGAACCGAGTGGGAATCTTTGCAGTCTGTGACTGTCCGTGTGGCTGTCCATTTGTCCGACCTTCTCTACCCTATCGCCGAGTCTCTATCCCTTTCTTGGCGCGTGGAGCCTGGTGGGCTCAGGCAGCGAACCTCAGTGGGTTCCTGGAGATCTCTAAGCGGGATGGAGACCGCGAAATGCCAGAGTCACCCAGCCGGCAACTCCCATGCCCCCGACTCTCCGCACCTCTCGGGGGCGGGGGGGGGATGGGATCCGAGAGACTGCAGGTGCCCATTTCCTGTCGAGGGGCTGCAAGCACGTGTCGCCGGGGGAGGGAATGAGCTGCGTCCGTTCCGCCGAGTCACGGCGGCCGAGTCACGGCGGCTGAGTCACCCCGGGCGCCCCTCCCTTCCTGGCCCCGAGCGGCCCGGGCCGGGACAACCTCGGGAGCGGGAGATGCCTCCGGTGATGCCTCTGGCCCGGAACTGGGGTCACTCGGCCGCTGTGCCTGCAGCGCCGAGCTGGGGACACCGTTGTCCAGACTTGCCTGGGCTGGTGGGGCGCTTCCCGGACGGCCGGGCGCCCACACCCAGGGCCCAGCCGTAGGGCTCGAACCCAGTTCTCTTCCCAGAACACTGAGCCCCCGTCACAACCCATTCCTCCGATTTCTGGCTGCAAAAGAATGGCATAGGTAACAGTTTAGCCCTAACAGAGTGCCAGGCCTTTGGTGTTGCTTTCCACAAGGCTTACCATATTTTATGGACTCTAAGAACCCATGGATTTAAAAACCTACCATCACATTGAGCTATTGAATTTTTAATTGCCAATTAAGCTACGATTTCAGACCTATTAGAGCTCCACTTCTCAGCATCAATAAAATGTTATAATCCTCACCCATGACAATATTAAAAATGGGGAAACTGAGGCACACTGAGTTTAAATGAGTCACACAGCGGCTAAACTGAGATTAGAACTGGGATGAACTGAATCCAGGGCAAGAGCAGTGGCTTTTGCCCATCACAGCCCCTCTTGCCTTGGACACCTGTCCCTTACCAGACCCTGTCACACACATTCTCTCACCTGATTTTCACAATCATCTTGGGAGCTTTATGTGGTTGGGTGCTGGAGTATAAAAGAACCCAGTCCCTTGGGCTCAAATCCCATTTCCTACTTACTGGCTGTGTGTCTGTAGACAACTGTTTGTCTGTCTGAAAACGAAGATGCTATTGTGCCAACTGTATGAGTCACTATTTGTAAAGTGGTTAGAACAGTGCCAGGCATTTCACACTTGATAGGAATTAGCTCTGATGAGGAAACAGAGATACAGATAGGTTTTGTGACCTGCCCAAAGTCACACAGCTCATGAACAAGTCAGTTTCTCTGATTTCCAAACAGTACTCTTTCTGGTCTCCTCAAACCATTAAGGGTAGACAGCACTGTGACCTCTATCGCCTAGGATCCCCCCCAATCCATATGATCTCATCCCTGACCCTCCGTTTCTTATCCCTCAGAAGTTCCACCTTGTGCCAAGCCTCAATGCCGTGAGTGGCAGCCAAGAATTGCAGTGGATGGTGCAGCCTCACTTCCTGGGGCCCAGCGGCTACCCCAGGCCTCTAGTCTACCCTCAGTACAGCCCCCCGCAGCCCCGGCCAGGAGTAATTCGGGCTGTGGGTCCTCCTCCAGGGGTACATCGTCGACCCTGTGAACAGGTAAGTAGTAGAGGTGCTACACTTGTTCTGATGGTCCACAGGGGTGTTAGGGTACAGGGGATAAGGTCTTGCTGGAAAAGAAAACACGGGCTTAGAAGGGGGTAAAGGAAGGGTCATTGGTGACTATTTCCTGAAGCAGAAAGTAATGAAAGTCCCTGGGAGGCCCAGGGGGAAAAAGGTCCCTTTGGATGGAGAAAAGCGTCCTGGAGAAGTGGCTGCTGTTAACCTAAAAGGAGTGTAGGAGTTACATAGGCAGAGCTGAAAGAAGGACCTTCCAGGTAGAGGGGTGAAGAAACAAGAATAGAGGTGGAGGGGAGTGAGTTTAAGGTGAATGTGGAGAGGTGCGTCTCCACCTGCTGAGTTGCATAAAGGGTGAGGGCTTATGTTGTCTGTGTAGCTGCGGAGGGAACAAGAATGAGAGGTCTGTCTTCGACTCCTCATTTAATTCTCACAAAACCCCTCTGGGGAATATACTTGGTTCCCTGCCCCCCGTTTTCCAGCTGAGGAAGTGAAGGCATAGAGAGATGGTCACTTGCCCAGGATCACACAATAATGAGTACAATGAGACAGGTCTGGCCTTGGCCCCAGGTCTACCCAATTCAATTCCAATCCTAACCACCTACCTACACTGTCTCACTGGGAGCTTTCAGAAGACTCCAGGCAGAAGCTAACTCTTGCCTCCTAAGTTCTTTCCAAAATAAATGATTAACAGATGGAGGTTTTTGTTTTTTTGAGACAGGATCTCATTAGCTAGCCCAGGCTGGCTTTGAACCTGAGATCCTCTGACATCAGCCTCCCAAGTGCTGGGATTACAGGTGTGTACCACCACACTAGCTGAGATGGCCGGTCTTTAAGAAAGTGGTTTCTCATTGCAAGCAAATATTAAAATGTCACAATGAAAACCCCCTGTACAATAAATATATGCTAATAAAAATGTTTTAAAAAATATTTTCAGACCTTTAAAAAAAAGTGGTTTCTCTTTCCCTGGGGAGTATGGTATATGAGATATAGAGGGGTGAGGGTTCACATTAAAAAGCTGAGTAGAGGATAGGGAGGGAGGGAGGGACACTGGGAGAGATGTGAGATTGGCAGCAGCAGCTTTCCTAGAAATGAAAATTAGCCTTTTTGGCTAATTGGAGAAGGGGACTGTAGTGTGAGCCAGAGTCAGGCCAGGAGTAATCCCTCCTGTACTTTCTTCCTTCAGCCCTGTCCTGCCTGTGACCCTCTGATGTGCGGTACTACTAGGTTAAGGCTGTGAGCTGTGATTAGGGTTCTTCTGGGAAAGTGGCCTCGATCAGCTGGCCTCTAACTCAGTATGAATGGAGTGAGTGGATATTAATTCCTGTTCTGGAACCATAGACAGGGCTTCGGTTCCTTACATGGGAAGTTGGGTTAAGAATCTATGTAGGGGCTGAGAGTGTAGCTCAGTGGTAGAGCACTTGCTTTGCATGCACTAGGTGCTGGGTTTGATCCCCAACACCACAAGAAAAAAAATATGCAAAGTGTTTTAGCTGGCCGGATATGGTGGTGCACACCTGTAATTCCAGCACTCAGGAGCTGAAGTTGAAGGATCATGAATTTGAGACCAGTTTGGGCTACATAAGGTGACCCTGTCAGGAAGGAAGGAAGAGAGGGAGGGAGGGAGGGAAGAAGAAGGAAGGAAGGAAGGAAGTAAGGAAGGCAGGCAGGCAGGCAAAAAGGTGTCTTTGGGGCAGAGGTTAGCTTACTGGTAGAGTGCTTTAGTGTGCAAGGCTCTGGGTTGATCTCCAGTCCAGCAGAGGTTGGGGGTGGATACAAGAGTACCGTCTTTGCCCATTTATCTGAATAGGTATCATATGCCTGGCACATAATAAAGTGCTTAGCTGGCACACTAAATTGCAACTTAGCCGTACTCATGAGCCCCTTCTAGCGGTCACAGTTCCTGGGGGAAGAGGAGATTGGATTTTTCCATGGATCCAGAAGGATGAGGGCCCTGGGAAAAAGGATAACCCAGTCCCAGAGACCAGAGAAGGATACTCTGGCTGGGGAGTAAGAAGGCTTCCTGGAGGCAGGGGCGTACTAATTGAGCCCTGGGAGAGGGGGAAGGTTAAGGTTTGTGAAGGAGGGTATTACGGGAGAGAAACTGGCTCTAAAGCTAGATGCCAGGAGGAAATGTGGCCAATCAAATGAGGCGCACCTGAATGCGGAAAGCCAATCGGGGTGAGGTGTACCCAAAGCATAGGATGAAGCCCCGTCCTTCCTCTCCCCACCAGCGGAGGGCGAACTCCAGACAGCTAAACCCCCTCATTGCTGCCCCTTCCCCTATCCTCTGCCAGATCAGCCCGGAGGAGGAAGAGCGCCGCCGAGTGAGGCGTGAGCGGAACAAGCTGGCTGCGGCCAAGTGCAGGAACCGAAGGAAGGAACTGACCGATTTCCTGCAGGCGGTGAGCACTGGCCCAAGCAGAGGGACCCCGGCCCCCAGGAGCCTGCGAGGCCCACTACCTTGGTCCTTCGCACCCTATCCTAGCTCCTTGTGCGAGGCGCAGTCCTTTTGGGAAAGGGACAAGGGAAAAGGCGATTTAAAATGAGTTGCAGGGCGCCCTGCACCAGAGCGGAGCCAAAACTGGCTGGCAGTTTCCTTCTAAGACATTCCAGGCCTGATGGGAGTCAGCCCACTTTCTCCCAGGGGCTCATGGGAATTGCAGTCCAGACTTGCTGGGGACTCCAACCCCACCCCCACGCCTGTCGGAGGTTTGGGGTCTTCCACCCTCTTCTTCCTAACTGCTCTCCTGATCCTCTACAGGAGACCGACAAACTAGAGGATGAGAAATCCGGGCTGCAGCGAGAGATTGAGGAGCTGCAGAAGCAGAAGGAGCGCCTGGAGCTGGTGCTGGAAGCCCACCGCCCCATCTGCAAAATCCCGGAAGGAGACAAGGAGAGGGACACAGGCGGTACCAGCAGTGCCAGCGGCACCGGCAGCCCACCAGGCCCCTGCCGCCCTGTACCTTGTATCTCCCTTTCCCCGGGGCCTGTGCTTGAGCCCGAGGCATTGCACACCCCCACACTCATGACCACACCCTCTCTGACTCCTTTTACCCCCAGTCTGGTTTTCACCTATCCCAGCACACCGGAGCCTTGTGCCTCAGCACATCGGAAAAGTAGCAGCAGCAGTGGGGACCCATCTTCTGACCCTCTGGGTTCCCCCACCCTCCTGGCCTTGTGAGGCACCTGCCCCACCCCACCCTCTGCAAGTGCTACCTTAGCGAGGATCTCATTCCTTTCCCCCATTGGTCCAGCTGGCCTGGACCACATACCATGCCTAATGCCAGCAGGCCGGCCCTTCTCCCATCTCTCCAGGTGAGACTGTATTTTGCTTGGAGGCAGAGCTTGGGGCCACCAAATCTGCCCACTGTTTCTCTAGAGCTGGTCTATCAGAGACAAAATATTTTCGTGTGTGGCAGCCCAAAGACTCTAGATCCCTTGATCTACAGAGATCTGGGGCCCGACCTCCTTGCAGGCCACCCCTACACTTCATTACCTTGTTCCTGCGATCCACCCAGCCCTACACCCTGACAGAGGGTGCCCTTTTACCAGCCTAGAACACTAACTTACCCAGCCCCACTGCCAGCAGCACCAGGTGATCGGACCAGGGAGTTCTGTGGGCCCCTCCTGAAAAGCACAGCTGAGGAGGTTCCAGAGGCTTTGGTGATGAGCTGATCTGCAGCCCCCGGCTCTGAGAAGCCTTTAGCTCCAGGGAACCCAAGCTTCCACAGAGGGCAGCTGCTATTTATTTTCCTAAAGAGAGTATTTTTTATACAAACCTGCCAAAATGGAATAAAAGGCTTGAAACTCTAGCCTGGATATTTGGATATCTGGTTGAACCCAGATGCTCCTATTTGGAGCCAGAAGCCCCACGTTCCGGTCTCAACTCCTGAATCACTACATGATCTTGAACAAAGTCTTTCGAATTTTTGGACCTGAATTACTTCATCTGATGAATGGGGCCACATCTGCTTTGCCTCATCTCCAGGACCAAGGGGAGAAAATGCAAGCAAAGAGGATTGTCCTTCTCCTGAGGGCCCACAGTGCTCCTACATGCGCGCGCTGCAGGGGGCGCTGTTTGCCCTCTTCCACTCTGAGCAGTCGGCCCAGTGGGTTTTAGGCCCCCAACACCTGCTTCCTGCCCCATTGTCTTGGACAGGAAAGAGACAGGAAAGGAGTTAGAGCTACTTCAGGGACCGGATTATGGTCTGTCCTGGCGCCCGAGGAGGTAATCAATGGTTTACCACTGTCCCGCATCCCACCCCAGACTCGAGGTAATGGGGGAAGTCAGCTACCTTGGTTCTTGGAGCTTCTTCAGAAGAGAACAGTACCGTTTCTGCGTTCCCGCCCCCTCCCCAACACCGGCGAGTCCCACACACACACTGCCCAGGCTTCGGGCTCCGCTTCCGTCCCAGTTTATTAGTCCCCACCCAACCCCCCAGCGAGTCCCTCCGCTCCAGTCCCCCTGCTGCCCCGCCAGCGAGAGCGAGGGGCCCTCCTCAGTGCCAGGGCTTCTCAGTCCACGCCAGCAGCCCCTGGTGCGCAGAGGCGGCGTCCAGGTCTGGAGGTCCACAGCAGTTCCGGCGCTCGGGGAGTAATCTGGGCGGGCGTCGGCATGGAAGAAGCAGCGCAGTCAGTCATCCGGGGAGCAGGCCAGGGGCAACTGATCGGGACTGCCCACGCTGCCGGTGCTAGAGCTTCCGTCACCTAAATCACGGGGCCCGCAGGGGGGTAACGCGAGCTCCGGTGTCGGCCCGGCGCCTGAGCCCCCCGCACCGCCGGTGCTGCCGCGGGGGCCCCACTCCTCTCCCAACGCCAGGCAAAGCTCCTTAAGCGCCAGGTTTTCCCGCAGCAGCTCCTCTTGGCGGCCCTCCAGCTCGGCTAGCTTCTGCCAACAGCCACCCAGGTCCTCACGCACCGCCCGAGATGCTTGGGTCCCGAAGAGCTGCCACTGGCGCGCAGCGCGCCGCCCCCGCTGGCGCTCAGAGTCCAGGAAGCAGCAGAGGTCGCGCAACTCCCGGTTCTCGGCCTGCAGGCGCCGGTTGAGCTGCTTGAGCTCGCGAATCTCGCCCAGGTGACCCTGCAGCTGCCGATTCACCTCCTGCATAAGGCGGCCGCGCTGCACCAAAGCCGCGAGGCGCGCCGCCTCCTCCCGCCGCAGGCGCCGCACCAGCTCCTCCTTGCCCAACGCCGCCATCTCCTCATCCGTCAGCTCCTCCAGGCCGCCTGCCTCGGCCTCCATGACTGCTCAGGCCGCTGGAGCATCGCCCGCCCGCCTCCGCGGCCCGGGAGCCCCACGTCGGGCTGGGCGCCGCTCGGGCTACAGCTTGGACTCTGCGGGCTGCAAGCAGTGGCGGAGGTAGCGTAGGCTGCAGCAGCCACCCCGCGGGGGCACGCGGCAGGGCGCGCGCCGGGGCGGGGCCTCATGACGTTACGGAATAACAGCCAATCCAAAAAAACCTTTCCGGAAAGGGGCGGAGTCTGACGCCAAGCTCCACTTTTCCAGCGCAATCTCCACCAAGATGTCAAGACCCTCGCGCGTGTATGTCTCCTGCGTACTCGCCCACCGCACCTGTCTCAATCCGACTTGAAGGCGTTTGGTGCGTCCAAGTTCCGGAATCTCCTTAAGCTCGAGCTTAGGGCTCCTTTTGAGAACCAAGATTCAGGAGCCCGCCCTGACTTCTTACCACCCTGCGACTGAACCCAGATGAATGGCTTTCCATCCCCATCTTCCTTCGGTCGAACTTGAGAATCTCGGCTAAGCATTAGAATCTTGAGTCCAAAAGTCCTGACTCATTATCAACCTACCCTACCTCCCAGGGAGTGTTTCCTGTCTGGGGCGCGGGGCATCCAAGGGATTCCTTCAATAAACCTTTATTGTGTGTTAAAGCCCATGCACAAATTAACTTGACCAAGATCACGATCTTGACCCCAGAGAAGTTGCAACTATGTGGCAGAGGAAACAAAAAGCAAATGGGAGAGGAGGTCTGGGAATATAGACCAGGGGTAGAGGACTTGCCTAGCATACGCGAGGCACTGAATTCATTCCCAGCACTCAAGGGGGGAAGGGGTGTAGGGTGTGGTCTCGGGGATCCCAAAAGAGGTGAAATCCAGCGGGCTCTGAAAGGTGCCTAGAACTTTGCCAAGTCAAGGTGAGGAAGAGGTGCTGCTCCTACCAGAGGAGTGTAAAAAGTGGGAAGACAGGGAGGGAAGCTTAAAGCGTAGGTGGAAGCTAGATTCTTGCGACCTTTCTTTTCTTCTTCCTCTTCTTTCTATTTTTGGCGGTATTGGGAATTGAACTGAGGGTCTCACATTTGCTAGGCAAAGGCTCTACCACTTGAACCTCGCCCCCAGCCCTGCCACCTTTCAATACTAGTCTGGAGTGTGACTAAAGGCCAGTAAGGACTTTTAAACAGGGAAGTAACTTTTTTTTTTTTTTTCGGTACTGGGGCTTGAACTCAGGGTCTTCACCTTGAGCCATTCCAACAGCCCTATTTTTGTGAAGGGTTTTTGAGATTGGGTCTCCCGAACTATTTGCTCCGGCTGGCTTCGAACCGCGATCCTCCTAATCTCTGCCTCCTGAGTAGCTAGGATAACAGGTGTGAGCCACCGAACGCGGCTTTTGTTTTTGGTTTTTGAGGCAGGGTCTCACTGTGTAGCCCACGCTAGCCTTGAACTCAAGATCCTCCTGCCTGAGCCTCCCCAGGACTGAGATAACACTGGTACACCAACACATGCAACCAGCTAAGCACTTTACATAGTTTGCCCCCCGCCCCTTTGCTGTGCTGGGGATCACCACCACACCCTGCAAAAGAGTAACATTTTAAAATACGCATTTAAGAAGATTGTAGAGCAGCTCTGTGTGGGATGGACTTTGGGAGTAGAGACTGTAGGCAGGGAGGTTAGTAACACTGTGTCCCTGAGCAAGGAGAGCTATGCAGAAAGACTAGGCTGGGGCTGCATCTGTGGGGGCGGACAGGACCAAACATACTAGAGATGCTCAGGAGGCAAATCAACAGAACCAAATGCCGGGACAAAGGAATCTGGGAGAAAGCCCAGATGTGTATTATGAGAACTGGGTGGATGTTGGGACCGTCACTGAGGTAAGTATGCAATAAGGAGTAGATTTGGGAAAGCAAGAGGTTCATTTCGAATGTATTGAGCCGTGTGTGTGTGTGTGTGTGTGTGTGTGTGTGTGTGTGTGTGTGTGTTGTTGCGGATCAAATCTAGGAACCATGCATGCGCTCTGCCAGTGAGCGCTACAACCCTAGCCTGTGTTGAGCTTTAGAGTGGATTATGGGAAGACAGCTTGGAAAGCCTAGGCAGATATGCGACCCTGCGGATTTGGACTTCCAAGCTTTTTATTTTTTTATTTTTTCTTACTTTTTGCTGTACTGGGGTCTGAACTCAGGGCCTACACCTTGAGCCAGTCCACCAGCCCTTTTTCGTGATGGGTTTTTTTTTTTTTTTTTTTTTTTAGAGATAGGGCCTCACGAACTGTTTGCTTCCAACTGTGATCCTCCTGATCTCTGCCTCCTGAGTAGCTAAGATTATAGGAATGAGCCCGGAGGAAGAGCTTTAAAGGACAAAAGAAGAGGTCATTAGCTCGTGCGGGGTGTAGAATGTGGTTAAAACTATGTGCCCCATACCCAATAGAGGTGCTCATCCTTAGGTTGGATCCTGGAAGTAGGAAACAAAACCGATGTGCAGGAAAGAAATTTAGGATAGAGACCCGTAAAACCCTCAATTTACGATGTAAATCAAAGCTGGGAAGCCTCGAAGACGGCACAGAAAGTGGGAGAAAAACCAGGAGGAAGTGAGGGGAAAGGGCAGGGCAGGGGAAACCGGCAAGAGGTCCTCACGAGACCCGCGGGGATGGGCAGAGAAGAGAGGGGGGTGAGACGTGGGATTCCTCCTCTCTGCGGAAGGAGCGTGCCCTGTACAGCGCAGGACTGCGTCCTCGCTGCCTACGCCCCACCAGCTCCGCCCGGAAGTGGTCCTTCATTGGCTCCGGGTGTCGGGAGCGGACTCTTTGTGCTTCCGGAAGTGGCTCAGAGGTGGCGCGCCCGGCCGGGGCAGTGCTAGCTCCTGCTCCTGGCGCGCCCGGCCGGGGCCTCGCCATGACCAGTGAACTGGACATTTTCGTGGGGAACACGACCCTTATCGACGAGGACGTGTATCGCCTCTGGCTGGATGGTTACTCAGGTAGGTCTGTGTAGACCGGTCTAGGGGAGCAGGTCAGGCGGAGCGGTTGTTTAGGATAGGAGAGGGGGCGGAGCCAGAATCTGGGCATCATTCAGGGAAGTGGGCAGGTGGCTGGGAGAAAGAGATTGGGGCTGAAATCCCTGGAGGGCCTCTCGGGTAGTCGGGATGGGACCTGATGCTAGCTAGCATCGGCTCCCCAGTGAGCGACGCGGTGGCTTTGCGAGTGCGTTCAGGAATCCTGGAGCAGACAGGCGCCACAGCAGGGGTGCTGCAGAGCGACACCATGGACCACTACCGCACCTTTCACATGCTCGAGCGCCTCCTGCACGCTCCGCCCAAGCTGCTGCACCAGCTCATCTTCCAGATCCCGCCCTCCAGACAGGCGCTGCTCATTGAAAGGTGCTCACCTGGCAAATGGTGGGAACATCAACCAGTCTGAGCTATGTCCATTTTGCAGACTGAAACTGAGGCCCAGGGAGGGATGGCACTTCCCCAGGAACTGAGAAAGTTGAGCACAGAAGGGGCCTGCCCAAGCCCCCCTTTCCTTTCCTTCAATGGTGTCCTCTGCCTCCACAAGGTACTATGCCTTTGATGAGGCCTTTGTTCGGGAGGTTCTGGGCAAGAAGCTGTCCAAGGGCACCAAGAAAGACCTGGATGACATCAGCACCAAAACAGGCATCACCCTCAAAAGCTGCCGGAGACAGGTGAGTGCTACACCTGTCTGGGTGGTAGACATCCTGTCTACCACCGTCCCTCCATCCCTTCAGCCACTGCCCCCAGTTAAGAGTATTGTGGCAACAACTTCATATCTAGTCTCTTCTGTCCCCCCACCCTTTTTATTCCTTCTAAACTATCCCCTCCCTTATAACCAGAGTGGCCTTTCACAGACCCAGGTCTCACCCTGGCTTTCCCTTGCTTTTATACTTTTATTGGCTTCCATTGCTTTCCTGGGTAGCAGTTGAATTCCTTAGCCTTGACCTTCAGACTTGCCTGTGATTTGGTCTTTGCAGTCCTTTCTAGGCCTACATTTCTTCAGTCCCAGTCTTGCTTTTGTTCATGTTAAGGTATTATTCTTGGTCATAATTACCAGTTAAGATAAAAGGCAGGAGACTGGATGCTGCCTTTTCCACATACTTTTTTGGTGGTGCTAAAAAAGTACTCTTCTGGGCCTTTGATCCCTTTCCTTTGTGTCTCCCAAGGGCTCCCCATGTACAGGCTAGCATTTGCTTATTTTGAGTTCCTAGGACTTAGCCAGGAGAATCCGTTACAGCTCAGAAGGACCTGAGAGCATGATGCTAGAATGGAGTTGAAGTTAGAGATAGGAGTGAGTAAATGTTTGCTCAAGGCAAGACGGCAGAAGCTGACAAACATTTGTCGAATTGATAACCGCTGCTAATAACTAGTAGTTTATTGAAGGATAACTAGTGTTAAACCAGCAGCTGCCAACTGGAGAGGTCGATAGGAGAGCAGGAGGTGCTCAATAAACAGTTGACTGGAGAATACCTTCTGATCCCCTCTTCCCCTAACTCTACAGTTTGACAACTTTAAGCGAGTCTTCAAGGTGGTGGAGGAAATGCGGGGCTCCCTGGTGGATAACATTCAGCAGCACTTCCTTTTGTCTGACCGGTTGGCCAGGTGAGAGGCCAGCCATCTCCCCACCTGCACTTGCTTTCCTTGAGCCATGAGCCTGGTCTGCCTCCTCTATCTCAACTCCTTTCACCTCCTCTGCTTGTACAGGAGAGATGGGAGATGGTTGTCCCATTTCTGGTCTGTAGTTTGGATCAACTGACCTGGGTTCAATCCCAATTTTGCCGTTTTCCACTTGGGCTCTTGTGAGGTGGCACTTATGAAGCACTTAGGAAGTACTCAGTAATGGTGGCTGGTACCATTGTGGTCTCCCACTGTATCCCTTAGGGCACTGGGCTGAACCTTCTGTTTGCACAAATGAGGATGCCCATAGAGAAGTAACTTGTGGAAGTTCACATGGTGAGGGCAGAAGGAGGCCAGGACTTGGATGCACAGCTGTGGTTGTAGGTGGAAGCTGCTTTTTATTCTATAATATTTGTTGACTAAGCTTATTGTTCAGGGCACCATTATAGGATCAATAAGAAGGAATTTCAAATCCTGAGAGGACCCACTGTCCCATATCTGCAGGGATTATGCAGCCATCGTCTTCTTTGCCAACAACCGCTTTGAGACAGGGAAGAAAAAGCTGCAGTATTTGAGCTTTGGTGACTTTGCCTTCTGTGCTGAGCTAATGATCCAGAACTGGACGCTTGGAGCCGTCGGTGAGGCCCCCACCGACCCAGGTGCCTGGACGCTTCTCACCCTTTCAGGGCCTGGTTCCCCACCAGCAGTTCCTTCTGGAGCCCCACAGTTCCCAGCATCCTTCCTTCTTCAGGCCTCCACCCAGGCCACCTCTGCTTATAGTTCAGTCCCTTAATATACTTTATATGCAGACTAAGGGTCCACTGCCTGTCTGTCCTGGGGCATGTCACTCCACCTCTGAAATCCCTTTTCCTCTTCTCTCCTGTTGGGTGCAATGAGGTGGTGGTTGAAGAATACTCATGATCTCATGGGGTGGGTTTATCACCACCTCAACTTCCTTCATGGGCCTCACGCAGACTCCCAGGTAGATGACATGGACGTGGACTTAGACAAGGAGTTTCTCCAGGACTTGAAGGAGCTCAAGGTGCTAGTGGCTGATAAGGACCTTCTGGACTTGCATAAGAGGTGACCTTGGAGGTCCATGGGGAAGAGTCTGAAGGGGGTGCACATGTGACTATAACTATGACCCTGTCTTGCCCAGCCTGGTGTGCACCACCCTGCGGGGAAAGCTTGGTGTCTTCTCTGAGATGGAAGCCAACTTCAAGGTCTGTGGCCCTGTCCAGCCTCTTCCCCTAGACATTTTCAGCCTCCTGTGTACTACCCCTGCTAGGCAACTCTGCTCCTGTGAGATTGACCAGCAGGTGGCACTGCTGCTACCCCTGTCTGCCAGTGAGGGGAATAAAGAGGGCCTGGTTGATAAGAGGGAGGTGGATAGATTTGGGGACGGGCCTTCCCCTCCCCCAGGCTCTGTGCTAGCCCCTAGCACCTGGGGCAAAAGGCAGAACTCCCAGGATCCCTGCCCCACAGAACCTGTCTCGGGGGCTGGTGAATGTGGCTGCCAAGCTGACCCATAATAAGGACGTCAGAGACCTGTTTGTGGACCTAGTGGAGAAGGTAAGCTATTCTGCCACCACCTCTGATCCCCAGCCTGTCCTTTCCCTGAGCAGTTCTGGGGATGCTAATTAATCCTTTGGGCCCCCAGTTTGTGGAACCGTGCCGTTCTGACCACTGGCCACTGAACGACGTGAGGCTCTTCCTGAATCAGTATTCAGCGTCTGTCCACTCCCTGGATGGCTTCCGGTGAGAGACCCCAGTCTTCTGTCCAGCTTGACCAAACCCCAACCAGCCACCTGATACCTCCTTGCAGAAGGACTCACACCCTTCTACAAACTCAGGGCTCCCTGTTGTTCTACTCTAGGAATGGAAGTCTCTGGTTCCACCTCTTAGAATCTGTGTGACCTTTAGCAGGTTACTTAACCTCTCCGTGTCTTAGTTTCCTCATATGTAAACTGGGGATAATTATTAGAAGGATCATGCTAGGAGCATGGCTCATGTGGTAGAGCACTTGCCTAGCAAGCATGAGGCCCTGAGTTCAAACCCCAGTACCACAAAACAAGACAAAAACAACAAAAAAGAAAGCTTATAAGAACTTATGAGGACCAAATAATTTAGGAGTATAGCTCAGTTATAGAGTGATTACCTAGCATGTATAAGGCCTGGTTTTGATCACCAGCACCATGAACACACCAATGTGCATGTGTGTGTGTGTGTGTGTGTGTGTGTGTGTGTCTGTGTGTGTATAGATGGATAGATAGATAATGAGGACTTAAGATATAAAAAGCACTCACAGCTGTCTCAGATGTGAGTGTTGAGTGAACATCAGTTGTCATTGTTGCCATTTTCATTACAGACACCAGGCCCTCTGGGACCGATACATGGGCACCCTCTGCGGCTGCCTCCTGCGCCTCTATCATGACTGAGGCCCTCTCCCTTCACCCTGCGCACACTGACAATAAAATTGCTATGAATTTGGAAACCAGTCCTTGCTCCATTGGAGGATCTCGTGGGACATGTACAGTGTGCACATATATGTCCTGAGTACCATGGCTTTTGTGCATGAGGATGTAATGTACACCAGTCCCTGAGGGACTGAGACACATCAGAGACAGTATCTGTGCTCTCTTGACCCACCCTATCCACATCCCAACTGAGTCTACTCGGGAGCCAAGGGTCTTGTCTAGGTTTATTCAAGCCATGAAGAGAAGATGGGGAGGATAGTCAAAACCTTGGGGTGGGGCAAGTGAGGAAGGCATGTGGTATGCAGGAGAGGCTGATGAGGTTAGGGAGGACAGGAGATTGGCTGCTTCTTCTTAACTGGCTGGTCCACACGGGCTGTGAGTGGGTACTTGGTGATACCGCAGGCATTGCTTCCCCGATGTAGCCGGAAGTAGCCCTAGGAGGTTAGGGGCCGTAAGGGCCAGCAGGAGGAGAGGGCCTGTCCTGGCCATCCCTTCTTCCATTGGTTCTGGCTCACCTCCTCGCCCCACTTGGGCCCCCAGGAGTTCTTCAGGATCCAGTAAGGGGTGGAGCGGCAAGGGCGATGAGAACGGGGTGAGACTGTCTCTTCCCGCATCCCCTTCACTTTGCTCTTGCCAAAACCCACCAGCAAGACAGAGTGGTTCACAAACCGGGGGTCACAGGTGGTAGACGTGGCCTTGATCACACCCTTTTGATAATGCTGCAGAGATGTGGGCAGAGGAGCTGAGTTTGGGACCACTTCTCCCATAGCCCTCACCCCATTCCCTACCCCACCCACCTGCAGTAACTTCATGTTGATGGTCACGGTGATAGGGCCGTGGGTGGCCAGGTGCCGGGCAATTACTAGAGATAGAGGGTGCTATCAGACTGTGTCTGCCTCAGGCCTACTGCCCTTGGCGCATGAGCATTTGTCATGGAGTCGTCATCACCTGTCGTGTCCCTATTCCTACCCCCCCCCCACCCCGCCACCTACCATGGGTCTATAGCAGGTCTGTCTGCCTTGGTTCTGGTGTCTGTATCCTCCACCCCACCCCACCCCCATAGCTCCACCCTGGCCGCACTCTCTTCATTATCCTGTAGCATGATGAAATCCTGGATCCAGGCCACCTTTGTGTACTTCCTGGCCAAGCACTTGGAGGGTTTGGTGTGCTTCTTGAATGGGTAGTCCTTTTCGCTGGCCAGACCACCTGGAGACAAGCAAGACAAGGGAGGAGACTCTGCTCCTGACCATCTCCCACCCCTGCAGTTGTCCAGCAAGGCCAGATACTCACTGTTATTGAGGACAGTTATGAATGCATCCCAGACAAAGCCACCCTTGCAGCCATCCCCACAGCGGTCACAGTCGAGCAGTTCTGGGGCAGAAAGGTACAGCGTGGGTGAGAAGGCCCCCAGTCCATCCTCCCATCATAGTCCCCCCTCTCCCCTCCGTACCCTGCACAGAAAGTTCCACAGACTGGTGGTATTTGATGCCCCACAGGGCCTCGATGTTGCCTGCTGCTGCTATGGCCCAGCAGCACATGCAGTTTTCCTGGTGATGAGAGGATAGGGCAGGGTGTGTGGGGGGTCCAGATCTTGCCCTTCTCTACTCCCACCCCTTGGGCTAGATTGGGTTGAACTGGATATGAGCAGATACCTGGTTCCTGATGGGTGAGATGGCACCAGCTACCTTCCTCCAGTCACAGGTAGACGGCAATGGCTCCCCCCACTCTTCAGACTCTACCTTTCTGACCATGTTGATCTCCCTTCTAGTTGCCCTCTGATGCCCATAGAGCTGGCCAAACTCCTCCTCTGGGAGCAGAGAAGGCCACAGAGGTCACAGGTTTGACCTCCCTCCTCTGTATCCACATCCTACTCCAGCCATCCACATCCTTGGTTGTTTGGGTCCCCATAAAACCCTGGGAGGTATCAGGCAAGCATGTTGAGACCTAAAGAGGCCGAGCTCTTTGCTGTCAAATCCTCTGCACCTGCTGTGTCTGGCCCCTGAGCTAGACTGGGGCACAGGCTGGCAGGGTTCATGTCCTTGATACCCTGGAATTGAGGACAGGAAGTGAGCAGTGCCAAATTTGGTACTGAAAGTGGAAGGTCTGTCCTGTCCATCTGCCAGTATCCCTAGGAGAATGCTTACCCACTCACCATGTATGGCCCAGGGGGGTCCCAGTACCTGTGAGGTCACTGAATGGAGTCACCCCAAACTCAGCTGTGCACATGTCCTCCTGCAGCCATTGAGCCTGGGCCAGGTTGTGGGCAAAGATATCCAGGCGGCGAGCATGCTCTGGACCAGAAAGGAGCTGTCCCAGGTTGGCTCCCAAGCCCCCAGGGCAGGAGGTGGCCACTGACAGGGCATCCTGCCACCCAGGTGAGTGCTGACTCCTTTCCTACAGCCCCAGTGCCTACCGTAGACACGGGGCCAAGGATGTGGTTACCTAGCCACCTAGGGTTAGGATTTGCCCAGAGGCAGCATCCACCCACCCTCGGGGAGGCTAAGCTGAGCAAGGGGCCTAGACACAGTGACTCAGAAGGGAAAGTGAGTGGTTAGAAACAGGCTTCCTGCCAGACCATCCCTCCAGCAGTACCACCTCTTCACACCTCTGACCAAAGATTTCGAGGTGGAACAAGAGTGTGGGAGGTTGGGGCATGGACTCACTAAGGGAGACAAGACTCAGAGAAGGCAGGAGCAGGGCTGGCAGCTCATGAGTGTAGGGGGATGGAATTCCCATTCCTTCGGGAGAAAATGGGTATGCTTGGGAGTCTTCTGAATGAATGTATGACTGATCACCTTCCCCCTTCCTGTAATCAAAGGGAGTTGGCTATAGAGTCAGAGGACACTAAGGCTGGGACAGATGCCTAACAGCCACCATTTGCCTTTCAGCTTCAGGGCACTGAATGATCCTGTACCCACCCATGCAGTAGGGAAACCAGGGAATACAGCTCCAGTCCTGCTGTCCTGTTTAGTGGCCTGAGCCAAGCCTAGTCCCCACCCTGAGCCTCAAGTTGTCTATCTATTCAGAGGGCAGGAGGAAGGTTGAATTCTACACATACATGCCCCAACATACCTGCTGAGTTTGAGTAACTTCGGTTAAACTGAACTTGGAACAACTTGAAGACTTCATTCAGCTCCAGTGGCTGTGGACCATGGTCCTGGCAAGAAACCAAGAGAGGGAGAGGGTGTGGGAATCATTCCCACAACCCCACCTTAGCTCCAGCCATGTGAGGACTGGACTAGGGAACATCTGGCCAGCCTTCTCTCCCTCCCTGTGTGGGTATGGTGGACACTTCTTTAGCTCAATTGCTCTGTCTGAGAAATGGGATCAACAATCCAGTTGTTTCTGAAGGGGAGACCCCAGGTGTGGGACCAGCAGAGGGAAAAGCATGGGGAGCAGGTTGGGAGTACTTACCTGGGCCCTCAGGGAGTCCCTGTTGCCTTGGGCTAGGCCTGCCACCAACAGGGCCAGGAGGCAGGAGAAGTGGGTAGTCAGAGCCATGGTGGCACAGCCTGAAGTGCTCAATGCTGGGACAGGAAGCTGTATAGATCAAGTTGAAGGGGGTGGAGCTGGAGAAACCACGAAGGGAAGCCAGGCTTGGGGTGGGAGGTGGACCTCTAGAGCATGCAGGCTACCTCTGGCCTTTAGGTTTCTTCTGTACCTGGCTCTTCGCTCCTCACCCCGTTGTCTTTATTCAACAGCAGCTCTGGGCCCCTCCATTCTGGGAAATTCTGGGGTTATGAAGATCTGTCCTTAAGGAGACTGGGAGACAGATCCTTAGTGAGCAGTGATGATATAGAGATGAAGCCCAGGGGGTACAGGCACAGGCGCCTGGTGACTGGGTAGGAATGGGGGGTGGTCACTGCCCACTGAGGAGTCACTCTTTCTCCTCCGTGGAGCTCAGTTCAAGGGCCATCTCCTTCAAGAAGCCTTCCCAAGGCAGCCACAAGTGGCTTATGCCTGTAATCGTAGCTACTCAAGAGGCAGAGATCAGGAGGATCATTGTTCAAAGCCAGTCTGGGCAAATAGTTTGCAAGACCCTATCTTGATAAAACCCTTCACAAAAAAGGACTGGTGGAGTGGCTCAAGGTGAAGGCCCTGGGTTCAAACCCCAGTACTGCCAAAAAAAAAAAAAAAGCCTTACCAGCTTCCCCAACATCTCATGTAACCATGGCAGCCCTTATACCTATGAGCTCCTTACACCTACGCAAGCTTATGTTCAGCTTCTCTACCACACCTATATCCTATTCACTCATTTTCCCCAGTGTCCAGGACAGGGTTACACAGAACAGGCTCAGTGGTTGTTTGTTGACTGAACAACTAATCATCAGCTACTCTTTCCTATTATGCATCCTTGCCAAGGTTTGGGGATGAAAAGGAAAAAAAGAAAACAGGTGAGCATCACAGTCAGAGCAAGGCCAAAGCTGTGAGGTCAGCGGCTGGACAGCAGCTTTGATACCTGTTAAGGTTTTAAGTGGGTCCTTGGGCTGGGAGTATCCCCTCCATCCTCCAGACTGGGAACCAGTGTCCTAGAGCAGAGATGGACTTGAAAAACTGTCTGGCCTGGCACTAGTAGCTCAGGCCTGTAATCCTAGCTACTCAGGAGGTAGATATCAGAAGGATCACGGTTCAAAACCAGTCCAGGAAAATAGTTTGAGAGATCCTATCTTGAAAATACCCATTACAGAAAAGGGCTGGTGGAGTAGCTCAAGGTGTAGGTCCTGAGTTCAAATCCCGGTACCGCAAAAAAAGGGAAAACTGTCTTACGAGAGGTCCGTGGGAGTGGGAGAGAAAGGGGAGGAAGGCTCTGATCCTGGAATTCATCCATTTACAGACTCACTTGTCATTATTTTTAAGATCTCATTTGTGTAGCTAGAGAGCACTATGTTTTTTAACATTTTTATTCGCATATATTAGTTGTACAGGGAGGTGTCATTGTGACATTTGTATATGTGCTCACAGTGTATCTTAGTTAAATTCACACCCTCCACACTTTGTCATTTCTTCATTAGGAATCATCCCAGAATTGTAAAGTTCCAGTTTGCTCCATTTTGTCCCTCTCCCTGGGACAGTAAGCCAAGGACCTTCTCTATTTGGAAAAAAATGAGCCCTGCTTTCATTACAATGCAGTGGGTGCTGGGTGTTAGTGGATCACGCCTGTAATCCTAGCTACTCGGGAGGCAAAGATCAGGAGGACTGTGGTTTGAGACCAGCCAGGGCAAATAACTTGCGAGACCCGAGACCCTGTTGCAGGAGGGCTCAGACAGAGACTGAGAGAGCTTTCGGGAAGCAAGTTTATTTATTAAGCTGGCACAGACTCAGTGGACTCATGTCCAAAGGCTGAGCCCCGAGAACAAAGGGGGCTTTCCTTATATACCATTTAGAGCAGGTTACAGAAATGGTGGGGTGGGGGGGATGGGTCAGGGTAAAAGCTTGTCCCATACATAATCACATGTTATTTCATTGGCTGTTTTAACCTCAGGTAAGGTGACCCTCCTCTAGTCTCCAGGTAACATTCCCCAACTCCGATTTTCCTTTGTTTGTCACTGTAGCACTCATTAATCTCTGTTCCTCTTCCCTGTCTTCCTGCCACAGCCCCATCTCCAAAATAATCAGAGCAAAATGGGCTGGAGGTGTGACTTGAGTAGTACAGTGCCTGCCTACTTTGCAAGCACAAAAAGCCTGAGTTCAAACCCCAGTCTCACCAAAAAACAAACAAACAATAAAACAACAATCAGTGGGCTGGCCATCCACAGAGTGGTGCCTGGTCTCAAGGGCCTGGGGCCTAGTGCCCCAAGTGGGTCTTGTGCTATCTGTGGTGAAGGACGATTGTGGGGAGGGAAGAACTGACCTCGTTGACCCTCAAAACCTTCCTCTTTGCCACTGTCCTTCCTTCTTTCATATATGAGCTCTATGAGGACAGAAGGTCTTGGTCTGTTTTTTTTCCTTGCAGTACTGGGGTTTGAACTCTTCCTTGTGTTTGCTAGGCAGGCACTGTAACACTTGAACCACGCCCCAGTCCCTCTTGGTCTGGTTTGATCAGTGCTGTGTCCCTTGTGGCTAGCATGTGTCTGATTTGAAGTGACCACTCAGTAAACATTCATTGAATGAATGACTTCTCCCACTTGATCACTCATTGATTCACTCAGTCATCCTGCAGCTCCTGGCTGCTACCCAATGATGGTTGGGGCCTCACTGGCTGGGATGAGAGAGAAGCCAACTACGATTAGATTTGACAGGGCTATGATGCAGATCAGGTGACGTCAGGAGACGCGTTCTGAGGAGGCAACTCAAAATGACAGGCTTACTTGGGCCTAACAGTGCAAAGTTGGAGGTTCAGGTTCCAAGTTTGAGTCAACTACATTCAGTCATTCCCCACTGAGCCTTGGTGTGTCATTTCTAAGTGGCAGCAACAAGTCTTGGGGCTTGAGTGGAATGACACTTAGTGGACCACCCCACCAGCCACGTGGCAGCTCCATAATGGTCTAATAAGGGACAAAGTCAGAGAATCTTGGAGTCAGTGAGACTCAACCCTATCCTTACTGCTCTTGCTGTGCCTGGTGTGAGAAATATGCTCACCTGACCAAACTCAAAGAATGGACTCAGAGTATAGTGAAAATGAGACTTTAACGTCAGTCTTTCAAGATTGGATGCTTGGTGAGCAGAGACACTAGAAGCAGTTACAACAAATATTATATTGTCTAGTATGCAATACAGTCTTTTCCCAGGTTCCTCATTGACTGAGTACTATGGGATGTACATTCTTCTGTAACCTAGATTTCCTATTTGGTTTTCTAAACTAAGTGTCTCTTGGGATTGGTCAAATTTTAGAGGCAGCTTGAGGTCGTACCCTTCCTCCTTTTGGGCAGGAAGGCCCCCCTGTGATACATGCTTTCTAGTACATACAGTTTTTACCCATTTCCTTATTTTATCATGATTTACCCTTCAGAGTTTAAGTTTCCTCATCAGTTGGGCCCTCTTCCAACCTCCACAAGCTGATACAAAAGCAAGTGGCCAGAGTTAAATGCCTTGCCTTGAAAATGGACCACCACTGACTTTATTTTTAACACTAGGACACATCTCTCAGCCATCCTCATCTGTGACATGGGACACTAATGTCACCCCATCCCTATCTTGGCAAGAGAACTGTGCAAGGTCCTTGCCATTGTCTAGATTGGTAAGACCTTGATAATCAGAAGCTTTTTGTTGTTGTTTTTCTAAATAATAGGTTTATTGAGATTCAAGTCACAGAATTTATCCTTTTTTTTTTTTGTGGCACTGGAGTTTGAACTCAGGGCCTACACCTTGAGCCACTACACCAGCCCTTTTTTGTGATTTTTTTTGGAGAGGGTCTCACGAACTGTTTGTCTTGGCTGGCTTCAACTTGCAACCCTCCTGATCTCTGTCTCCTGAGTAGCTAGGATTACAGGTGTGAGCCACTGGCACCCGGCTCAGACCCAGTGTAAAACAAAGAAAAACATGCGTACTAGTAATCACTCCCCTGGAAACCATCTAATTTCTGCCTCTCTACCATAGATTTGCCTATTCTGGGTATTTCATACAAATGGAGTATGTAGCCTTTAGTGTCTGTCTTCTTTCACTTAGTATACTGTTTTCAAGATTCATCCATATTTGCAGTACAATAAAAAAAAAGATTCACCCATATCGTAGCATGTATCAACATTTCAGTCCTTTGAGTGGCTGAGTAATATTCCACTATATGGATAGACCACATTTTGTTTATCAGTTGATGGACATTGACTTGTTTCTACATTTTTGCTCTTATACTGCTGCTACCAACACTATATAAAGATGTTTTTTGTGTAAATGTTTCATTTCTCCTAGGTACACACTTAACAGGTGAAATTGCTAAGTCCTGTAACATTGTGAGGAACTATCAGAACATTTTCCAAAGCAGCTGCACCATCTTATATTTCCAGTGTACCACGCCTCAGAGTGCTGGGATTGAAAGCGTACACCACCACACCCAGCTGTCTTTTTGGTTTTAAAGACTATGATTTTTAACCTCCTTATCCCAGAGACTGGGAAGGATGGAGGGTGGGCAGTGGAGAGGAGATGGTTAGCTCCCTCTGAACTCCAAGGACTCAAGCCCCTCCCTTGTGTCGCCCTGGGGGCGGATCAGAGGGATAGAAAAGGGATGGACAAGGGAATGGAAGGCCGGACTATTCCCGCTAGCAGTCTGGCCCATGCGGGGAATCCCTGGACACGCAGCCCTTTCCCGTCTGGCCCGCCCTGAGACGTGGGCAAAGTGAGGCCCCGCCCCTTCCTGGGAGCCAGACTCCGCCCCTAAGGCGTGCCCGCAGCTGGGGGCGGAGGCGGAAACAGGGTGGGGGAAACTGGGTGAGAGGAGGGTGGGGAAGGGGCTGGCCCTGGGCCCTGGCGTCCTGCGCGCCGGATTTCAGGCTTGCTCAGATTCTCAGGGGCTTCCATTCATTTTGGGGCCAAGCGGGAACTGCCGCCCCTGCCCCCAAAATATAGCTTTGCCATGGAAGGCGTGTGGGGGCGGCGGTGCTGGATGAAGGGACCACCTGGCTGAAAGCGGCCGTGGGGGTGGAGGGCAGAGAGAGAAATGGACAGTTTTGTGTCTGGGAGCTTCTCCTGCCTGGGTAGGGGTTCCGAGACCCTCGATGACGTTTTGGGACCATTTAGAGTGACGGTCTGGGAGCATAGAATAAAATTCTGGAGGGGAGTAGAGTGAGGATTTGGAGGCCCCAGGATTAAGTGTGGGTCTAGGTTCCCAGTACAATCTGGGAGGTGCAGAGTCGGGGTGCTTCGTGGGATTAAGGTGTGGGTGCTCGGGATGGATTCTGGGGGCGCAGATTAGGTAGGGTCTAGGTGCGGCGGGACAACATTTTGGATGAGAGTCTGAGGGCTGGGCATCAAGGTCAATGGCTCCTGGACACAGCGCAGGGGGACCCTGACTGGGTGCCGGGAAGAGGCTCGGGGAGGCGCCGCGGGGGACCGGGTGGGGGCCTGTGGCCGGCCAGGGGCGGAGAAGCGGGGGGTCGGGGTCCCTCCCCCTGGCGCGGGCTCAGGAATCCGCCGAAGGGCGGGCGGAGGCGCCGGGGTGGGCCGCGCCGCGGCGGGCCGGCGGGCGGGGGGCGCTTCCTGGGGCCGCGCGTCCAGGGAGCTGCGCCGTCCGCCCGTCCGTCTGCCCGTAGGCACTGCCGAAGTCAGCCGAGCCGTGGGGCGCTGCGAGCCCAAGTGAGTGGCCGTCCGTGGGGGGAGGGCGCGGGCCGGAGTATCCGCCGAGTCCGCGCAGCGAAGAACCGAGAGGCCTGCGCTCCTCGGCTCGCAGTGCTGGGGCACCCGGCGGGGGCGGGGTGGGCCTGGGACCCGGGCCTGCGAGGGAAGTCCGTTCCTAGCCCTGAGTGGGTGACGGGATGAGGGCCCCGAATCCTCCTACAGAAAATGGGGGATGTCGTGGCAGAAGCCCCTGACCCCTGCTCACCACCTCCCAGCCCCAGGATGCTCCCCTTTGCCTCCTGCCTCTCTGGGTCTCTACTGCTCTGGGCGCTGCTGCTGTTGCTTTTGGGGGCAGCGGCTCCCCAGGATTCCGAGGAGCCCGACAGCTACACGGTGGGGAGTGTGGGGTCACTGGCCTGGGATGGGTCGGGCAGGGACAGAGAGATTAGGATCCTGGGGTGGCTGCTGGTGGGGAAGATTCTCCCTTTCCTGGTTGGTGGAACAGCTGGGGGCCATTGTTTGGAGCAGTCTGGAGGAGGGTGGCTGGACTCAGGCCCTGGTTTTGGCCTGGTTGGTTGGAGGGGACCCGAGGTGATCACTGGCCACCTTTGGTGCCTTTTCAGGAATGCACAGATGGCTATGAGTGGGATCCAGATAGCCAGCACTGCCGGGGTGAGTGTGCCTGGGGGACCTATCACCCCCAGCAACGGAGAAGGGATTACTGCTTCCCAAATACACCGCCACCTCCAAGAACTGCAGAGGAAGCCCAATGGCCCCAGGCCAACTCTTGTTCTCTGGGGGGGCCACTTGCTCAACTAAGGATGGCTCCTCCCTCTTCAAGAAGGAAACCCTGCCTCTACCTCCCAGTAGGCAAGAGGGCAACTGGGCACTGCTCGGAGAAGCCAGCTTGCATACACCTTTCTCTGAATTACTCTCCTAGCCCAACTCTTTATCCTTTGGCAACCTGGTAGGAGTAGTGTCCATGTGGGTGGGTAGTGAGGCCTGTGAATTACTCTGGCTGAGGTGGGGTCAGGGCTTTGAGGCAGGATTCATTTCTAGGCAGGAGAATAGGGGCGACAGTGGGAAGAGGAACAACCCTAGCAGATCTGGGGAAGGGTCCTAGGCCAGGCAGGCAGCCTTAGCTTGCTGATTAGAGGGAAGGCCCAGCCTGGCCTGATCACACAGTTTAGAGAAGGTGGAGCTGGCCTCCTGCCTCCCACTCTCTCCAGGGCCAGCCCGTGACTGGCTGTGCCCAGCAGGCCCCTCTCTGCAGATGTCAACGAGTGCCTGACGATCCCCGAGGCCTGCAAAGGAGAAATGAAATGTATCAACCACTATGGGGGGTACTTGTGCTTGCCCCGCTCCGCTGCGGTCATCAACGACCTACATGGCGAGGGACCCCCACCTCCAGTGCCCCCTGCTCAACACCCCAACCCCTGCCCACCGGGCTATGAACCTGATGAGCAGGAGAGCTGCGTGGGTGAGTCAGAGTCACTCTGATACCCAGGCTTCCACACCTCTTACCAGGCATCATGTGCTATTTTTCCCTTGCTCAAAGGCCTCTGGCTCCTCAGGGGGACATCCCCACCCTCATCCATAGGCCCTGCATGTGGTCCCCCTGCCCAAGCCAACGCCTGTAGAGATATGCAAGAGCTCTACCTCCCAGCCTCTGTCCCTGCCTATTTTCTGATCTGTATCCCACCCCTGGGAGCCATGGGCCTTGGAGGGAGGGTCCTGAATCAGTGCTGGGGGTGTGTGAACAGGGCCTTTTTACCTACGCTCTCCTGATGTGGGGATACACTTCATGGTTGACTGTTACTTGTGCTGTTGGCACAAGATCTAGTTCATGCCAGTCACCCATGCACCCATGTGAATGTTGTCTGGCTTGTGTCACCTCCCAAACTGAGGTGTCTGTCATGTTTGGTAGCATGTGGGATTACAGTTGGGGCTGAACGGTACCGGTGTCTTCCACAGATGTGGATGAGTGTGCCCAAGCCTTGCATGACTGTCGCCCCAGTCAGGACTGCCATAACTTGCCTGGCTCCTATCAGTGCACCTGCCCCGATGGCTACCGAAAGATTGGGCCTGAGTGTGTAGGTAAGTCCAGGGAGTGGCCTTTTCAGTTCTTGCTCTGTGTTCCTGGCCTGGTTCCCATCCTAGCACCACCCACACCCAGGATCACCATAGTCCCCTCTCACCTGTGCTCTCCTATCATCGGACACAGAGGACTATGTGTGGGAGGGGGGCATGTCATGACTGACCTGGCCCAGACCCAGTTCAGCTCCTCAGGCAGAGACAGGACCATGGGTGCTGAGGCTGTGAGTCCCAGCTGGTGCTCTGTCCTTCCCCTTCCTCTATCGTAGACATAGACGAGTGCCGCTACCGCTACTGCCAGCACCGCTGTGTGAACCTGCCTGGCTCCTTTCGCTGCCAGTGCGAACCGGGCTTCCAGCTGGGGCCCAACAACCGCTCCTGTGTGGGTGAGGCTGGCTGGGCTGGGCTCTTGGGTCCTGGGCAAGGACACGAGGTAGGGTAGCTCCCTTCCTGACAAGCCCAAGTGGAGTGGAGGGCTCTGGGCTACTCCTTCGCTTTCACTTTTCCTGTCCCTTCCAGATGTAAATGAGTGTGATATGGGGGCCCCATGTGAGCAGCGCTGCTTCAACTCCTATGGGACCTTCCTGTGTCGCTGCCATCAGGGCTACGAGCTGCACCGGGATGGCTTCTCCTGCAGTGGTGAGAGTCCCAACCCTGCTTCAGGCTCCTGCATTGGTCCCCCAGGCCTTGCGTCATGTTACGCCACGTCCAGCCATAGTGCTGTGTCTGATGCTTCCATATTCAGTCCTCTGCACTCACATGCCTCCCATGTAGTCCATCCAGAACAGATTGCAGGGCACTCCCAGCCTGGTGAGGATGGCATGTTAGGCCCAGTTAGGTCCATACTGAAATCACTGGGGAAACAGAGAAGGATGTGGATATCTGTCTTCCTGGGAGTCAGGCTGATTTGCACCTGAATCCTGTACTAGGGAGAGTCGCTCTTCTCTCTGGTTCTGTGTTTTGGGTAAATTGGTTGTCTGGAGGATGAAGGGGGCCAATGATAATAGTCAGGCTTCATCGAGTCTCAACAGCTAAAGTAAACTGCCATTAGTTTAGTTGAGAACCTAACCTGTGCAGGGTACTTCCTCTTCATACTCGATCTCATTTAATCCTGACAACAATCCTAGGAAGTAGGTATGATTTTTTTCCTCCCTCTGCAAACAGGACATTAACATCTCCTTCCAGGTTTGTTGAGAGAATTACTAAAAAAAAAGGCATAAAGTGCTGGGTAAATGGTGACTTTCATCCTTTCACTTAGAAAGGTTAAATGACTTGCCTAAATTTACACAGTAAAGATGAGATGGGGGGAGCTAGAGGTGTGACTCAAGCAATAGAGCACGTGCTTTGCAAGTACAAAGCCCTGAGTTCAAATCCCAGTCCCACCCCACCAATACATATATATATATGACTATATATATATATATATATATAATATGACTATATATATATATATGTGAATATATATATATATATATATATATATATATATGTATATGACAGGGCAAGGCTGGATCTTGGACTTTTCACTGCATGTCACCTGGCTGGTCTCTGTTTACGTTATGCTTTGCTGTGGCATGCAGCCTTGTTGGTGCCTGGCTGCACGAGGGGAACAAACGTAGAAAAACAGTGTCCTGTGCACGTACCTCACAGATGGGGACTGTGTGCTTGGATTTATTGTGGGTTGCAGGAATTGGGTGAATGAGTAATCGAAAACTAGAGCAGAGTAGGTTGGGCCTTCAGGGCTCTTCCTCTCTCTCTCTCTTTTTTTTGTGGGTTCTGGGGTTTGAACCAGAGTCTCCTGCTGCTAGGCAGGCACTCTTATCACTTCAGCTATGTCCTCAGCCCTTTCAGGACCCTTTTAGTCTAATCCACTCATTTTGTTGGCAGGGAAATTGAGGGCCCCCAAAATCAGGGTTCACACCAAAGCCTCTATATTGCCAGTGCCTTTTTCTTCTGTTTCTTTTTTTTGTTGGTCTTTTTAGTATCTTCTTACAGTCCGGGGCAGAGAGAGGTCTGTAAATTGGGAGGTCTGGACAGAACTGCACACCTGTCTTATCTGCTTATTTGTCTGGTACGGGGCCTCGCACATACTAGGCAAGTGCTCTACAACTGAGCTATATCCACAGCTCCTCAGATCTTTCTTTGACCCTCTGTCCTCCTCCTGAGCTTTGCAGGGCTTGTCTCATCCCTTCTCTCTTCCCATATCCAGCCTAACATGGGGCTGGGCTCTCTCAGTAAACGCCTGTGGGACTCAATTGTGAGGACTGCCCTTGGCCCAGGGTCCTCATCCCCACCCTCCCTCAGATATCGATGAGTGCAGCTACTCCAGTTATCTCTGCCAGTACCGCTGTGTCAACGAGCCAGGCCGCTTCTCCTGCCACTGCCCACAGGGCTACCAGCTGCTGGCAACAAGGCTTTGCCAAGGTACAGGTGGCTGGGAGGGGTGGACAGGGTTTCAGGGGCTGGTGTCCTCACATCCCTGATTCCAGCCCCTCTTCCCTGGCATAGACATTGATGAGTGTGAGTCAGGTGGGCACCAATGCTCAGAGGCCCAAACCTGTGTTAACTTCCACGGAGGCTACCGCTGCGTGGACACCAACCGCTGTGTGGAGCCCTATGTCCAAGTGTCAGACAAGTGAGTCAATGGATGCCAGCCGCCAAAACTACAATTCCCACAGGGCCTTGGGGCGGGCTGGCGTCTACTCCGGTGGCAAGTGCGTCTGAGGGCTGGTGGAAGTTCTAGTTTTATACCAGGAGTGGGCGGACCCTCTTGAGATTCCTTCCTTTTGGGGAATGGGCCGTATTTGGTGGGTAGGCCAGAACCTCATTCGTGTCCCCTATCTTGGGGCCTCTAGCCGCTGCCTCTGTCCTGCCTCCAACCCCCTGTGTCGAGAGCAGCCTTCGTCCATCGTGCACCGATACATGAGCATCACCTCGGAACGGAGCGTGCCCGCTGATGTGTTCCAGATCCAAGCAACCTCCGTCTATCCTGGCGCCTACAATGCCTTTCAGATCCGCGCGGGAAACTCCCAGGGGGACTTCTACATTCGGGTAAGGCACTCCCCTACTCTTACCCTCAACTCACATGCACAATCTAAAATGGAATTGCAGAAGCCTGGAGTGGGAGTCCGGCTGTGCCACTGTGCCCCGCCTCTTTTTCTCAAAGCCCGCCCCAGAGGGGAGGTGCTCTTTCCAAGGGCACAAACTACAGACGTAACTGGCAGTTGGTCAGTGGGGTTTAAGTCTCAATATTGGTTTTCCCTATCTAGCTTTGATTTCTTTGCTCATAAAACAAAGAATAGAGGGCTGGTATCTGAGAATCTAGCTTTGCTGGTTAGCTGTAGGTGGCAGGGGTCCAGGAGTGGCTACCGAGTGGAGGGTGAGGGTCTCAAATGCATGGTTCTCATGCCGTATTCGGTATCAAGAGGCAAGTCTGGCATCAGAGCTTGTTTTCTATTTGAAATGGAATGCTTTGGGCTGGGGCTGTAGCTCAGTGGTACAGCACGTGCTTAACATGCACCAGGACCTGGGTTTCACTCCCAGCACCAAGGGAGGGTAGGGGCAGAAAAGAGAAAAAGAATATTTGAATGCTTTGAAGGGGAGTTTGCCTGCTCAAAGTCACCAAAGGCTCCATAACTCCCAACTCATACCTGGCCTTGAATCATAGGTTAACCCTGATTAGAAAAAAGAACTAGATAGAAAGGGTGAGAGGGAACCAGTGAGATTTCTGAGAGCAGAATCTCAGTACAGGAGGGGAGGAGAGCTATCTGGGTGCCAGTGCTGGTCAAGAGCCTGGGTCACAGCTTGGATAAGGCTGTCTTCCCATTTCATGGCTACAGGGCAGGGTAGTGATGCTGGGGTAGGATCTTGGCACATAGGCTGACAGTCTCTATGTCCTGCTACCCACTGTACCCTGCAGCAAATCAACAATGTCAGCGCCATGTTGGTCCTCGCCCGGCCAGTGACCGGCCCCCGGGAGTATGTGCTGGACCTGGAGATGGTCACCATGAACTCCCTCATGAGCTACCGGGCCAGCTCCGTACTGAGACTCACCGTCTTCGTGGGGGCCTACACCTTCTGAGGAAGGGGGACCCTCAGGGAGGGGTCACTTTCCCTGCAGCCCCCTGTAGCTAAGGAGCCTGGAGTTCAGAGATGACTGTTCTACTAAAAGGGAAGATGTTGTGAAAGGCAGAAAGAGAAAGGCAATAAAGGGAGAAAGGAGTTCTGGTGGCTGAGGTAGATGGTTAACCTCAGCTGGGGAAGGGGCCAGGCTGTGCCCATAAAGGCCAAGTTCCCCTAAACGGGGACAGTCTGGGGAGCTATGTACCACAGGGTTCAGAATCATCCCAAGTAGGGAGGAGTTAATGAAATGAGCACATCCCAGAGCACTAAGCTTGGCTGATTTGTAGCGGTCCTGAGAAACCCTGCTAGGGACAGTCCCAGGAGGCCTGGGTCCCAACCCTAGTTCTGCTTCAAACTAGACATTTGGACAAGACTTACTAGTTTCCCAGGGCCTGTTTTCCAATCTACAAAATGAGGTGAACAGACATGAGTGTTTTTCTAGCTTCTTTACCAAGTTATAGAACCTCTTACTTGACTTATAGGACCATCTGATTACATAAAGTAGACTCAAAGCTACAATGGCCCATTGACTCCATCTCCCTGACCAGGGAACTACAGATCCCAAAGAGCTTACTTTATTTATTATTTTTTGAGACAGGGTCTCACAATGTAGCCCAGGCTGGCCTTGAATTTGATCCTCCTGCCTCAACCTTCCAAGTGCTGTTATTACAGGCGTGTACCACCACATCTGGACAGGAACTTGTTTTTAAAAGCACTGGATGGCCTGGGGATTTAGCTTAGTAGTAGAGTTCTTGCCTATCATGCATAAGGCTCTGTGTTCCATCCTTAGCATCTCAAAAAGAAAAAAAAAAAAAACACTGCACCACATGGTCTCATCTTCCAGTTCCTGCAATTTCAAAAGGGTCCTGGGCCAGATATCTTCTCCCTAGTATATAAGGCTGCGAACACCTAAGGCTTTTATTGTAGTCCTAAAGAGCCCAGTAAAAAGGCTGGTTGGCATGGGTGGAGGGGGCAGATGGGCCAGAGGCTGTCTTGTGGCACATATAGCTCAGGTCAGAGGGCTGTTGCTACAGTAGAGCTGGGACAAGGTTCTGCTCAGAGTGGGTCCCAGATTCCTGGAGGAAGACAATGCAGAAAAGGGTCAGCCTGTTGTCCAGGGCAGCCTGAGCCTCCCTTCAGGTTGTGCCTTGCCCTCACCTCTGCAGACGCCCACACTTGATGGTGCTCAGCAGCATCTCCTGTTCCTTGGGGGTGGCACAGGCATCATAGGCGGCCAGGAGGCTGCAGATGGGGGATATAATGGCTGACTATCTAGGCCAGCACCATGAAAGCTGAGACAGGACGGGGCAGCCTGGGTGCAGGGTCGGGAAATTGCACACTTCCTGAGCCTGGTATTCAAGGCCCTACTCCATTCCACCTGCCCTCCCTTCCATGGGGAGAAGAACAAGGGACAGGGATAGAACCGCCAAAGGCTCCTAAACCTCCCCAGTCTCGATGGCCCAGCCCGCTCTTCCAGGATGTCGTCTCTCTGCATCAGGTGGAATGTCTCCTTCCCTCCTACCCACACCCGTGTCTGGGTTACTGTCCATCTCTGAACAGAGCCCACAAAGAGCCAGGCCCACTTCCCAAGAGCACTGATTAAGCTGAATTTCACGCAGGGAGGGCAGGGGCTGAGGACCCGAGGGGCCCAGTTGGGGGTACCTCGCAGGGGTGCTGTATCGCTCCACCAGAGCTGCTGCCTTTTCCCCACTCAGTCCACGCACCTGCATCAGCTGCCGGGCAAACACTTCTCGCACAGACTGGGCCTAGGGATGGGGAGGCCTGTGTAAGCGGTGGTCTGGGTCTAGGCCACCTACAGAGAGGCAAGGCAAGGGCAATACCTTGTTCTTCATGGCTCCCGCATTGAAGTCACTGAAGGTGAGGAGTGAGCACAGAGGGTTTGGGGAGGGTCTTGTCCCTGATTCAGGATCCCCTGGGGTCTCCCAGGGGCGGCTGCGTAGTGTGTGGCCCTGAGGGAAGAGTGAACTGAGGCCAGGCTGGGCTCTAAGGGTCAACACCTCAACCAGCTTTTCAGTCCTTGGCTTCAAAGAGCAGCCTGAGAAACAGGAATCTTACCCACTTTTCTTGCCTTGGGGAAGCAAGGTCCCAGATAAGGGCCTAGTGCCAGACAGGTTAATTTGCTCACCTGATAGAATCTCTCCAGGCCCCGAGTCAACAGGGCCAGGTAGGCAGCTGACTCTTTAATGTCAGCTGTGCGCTTCACAAAGAAGCCATCGATGACCTGAGGCAAAGGACCCAAGGGAGGGAGGTGGTTCCTAGCGTGAACCGTGAACATTGGTCCCTGCCAGCCTGTCCCTGCTCTCCCAGCTTACCTGGGTGTTGGTGATCGCCTGCAGCAGTGTGCTCTCAGGAAGGCTGAGGTTGTGGACTGAGCCATGCTCCTCTACCAGGTATACACGGCGCGCCAGGCCACAGCGCTTCAGGCGGAACTGGGAAGGATGCACAGAAGGTCAAGCCCAGATGTCCACGTGCTTGGGCTGTCGGTCACATGACTCATTACAAAGTGACCATGGCCCCATCAGCATCCTCATCCTCTCTGGACTTCCTGCCTGTCTCAGTGGGACCTCCACACCTGTGCTCATGTGTGGCTTCTGCGGGGAAGCCTTTTACCATCCCTAGACACTACTGAGACGGAAGTGCAGCTTCTGCATTTCCACTCCTGGAAGCTTGGGCCTTATCTGAGATGGGAGGGACTGGGTACCCACGGGGTCTTTAATATGTTCCTCTGCCCAGCCCAGCTGCCCTGCATTCCTGTTTGCCTGGATGGCTTGGGTCTGAGCCTGAGTTGCCTGTAGCAGATCTAAAGGGGTATGGCTGGAGGCCATAGGAGCTCCACCTCCAGGAAGGCCTCCCCCAGCAGGCCAGTGGGGCAGGCCAACCAAGGCACCTTCTGCTCCCGGAAGCGGCCATCGATGATACTGCTGCACAGGTCATCCAGCCGCTTGCGTTCCACAATGTGGTCCAGGACTAACTCCGCAGGTCTTGCTACCAAGAAGACAAGATGGCTCCTGTTGGCTTGTGTCTCCTTACCCACCAGGCCTGGCCTCTGATGCCTCCCACCCATGGCCCTTTACCTGGGTCTCTGGGCCTAGTCTCCTGTGCTACCCACACAAAGTCCCCAACATGCAACTTGCGCACTGTGTGGGTCACATGTAGCCTCTGGAGCTCTCGGAGTAACTCTGGTCTGTGTCCTGCCCTAAAATTGCATGAAAAGAAGCCAAGGTTAGGAGAGGCCAGTATCATGTACCCTCCAGCATCCTCTGATCATCTTCATGGCAACCCTCCCACCTTACTCACCCCCTAGTCTCGCCAATGTCCACACACAACAGCACTCTATACTCTCCAGGCCTCAGCTCCAACTGCAGCTGCTGGACCCCTCCTTCACTGGCACCACTGTTGAGGGAGGGCAGGGGTTGCACGTGAAGCCAGAACTTTCAGTGCCAGGGCATCTCCCCCATTGGGCAACAGGAGGTAGGGCAGCCACAGCTCGGTGGCAGGTCATAGGGATAGGGGTGTAGTGCTGGTCTTGTTTCTGGGACCCCTCCTGCCCTGTTCCTCCCCTTCCTCCTCACAGCTCAGCAGAGGCTGCTTCTGGCACTGCTGGTTCCTCCCCATGGGGCTCCTTGGGCCCAGTGCCCACGCTCAGCAAGCTCAGGCCTTCTGACTCAGCCAACTTCTGGGCTAGCTCCAGGCCCTCTGGGGTCAGTGAATACCTGGGAGGTGTGAGAGACAAACACAGCTCTCCCTTCTTCACTCATACCTGGCAGACTTTCCTGCTGTTCCCAGCTAGGTGGGCCTCATTCCCCTTTGGCGATCCTTCATAAGTAGGTCCACTGGCTCGCCCCTACCTTCTGTCTTCTTACCTCTCAAATCAGTTCCTTCAGGACCACCTTAGTGTCCTTTTTCAAGTCTGCAATTTGTGTGTCTCAAATCCCTTCTTCCTGTCTTCACTCATGCTGCTCCCTCCTCCCTTCCTGCATCTCTACCAACCAATCTTTAAGACATGCCAATGGTGTAACCTTCCTCCCTTCCTCCCTTCCCCCTGCTGCCTCAGTCTCCTGTTCTCCAACAGTGCAGGCTCCTGAGGGGAAGGTGGCACCAGATCTGAAATTGCTGGGTGATAGGAGGGTCCCACCAAGAATGCCATGCATGGTCCCCCATCCTTGCCCACTGCATCTAGCCCATACCTGGCTGGTCGGTGTGTCCTAAGAACCAGGTTCCTGTGGAGGAGGACACGGAGTGCAGGCCAGGGTCGAGCACTCCCAGAGGCTACCTGTGGATAGGGGAAGAAACCCTCAGAAAGTCCCTGATGCTGTAAGTCCAAACTCTTTGTGCCTTTATATTTGAGCCACACGTGGCTTAGGCCTCTAAGGTCACCAGGTCACTGCCATGAGCTCCACCTGTCCTCCCCCACCTGGGTGTTCACCTTAGGGGCCTTCTGGGCACACCTCTGCAGCAGTTCCTCCTTGGTTAAGAAGCTGTGGCCATCAGTATTCTGCAACCATGGGAGAAAGGACAAGGGTAGGTTCAAGGATGGGGCTCCTTCTTGCCCTGCCTCAACGGCTGGGATGAATTCCACTTGCCCTGCCCAGGTGTTTCCGGGAGCCTCCTGCTCTACTGCATCATCCCAACTACCCCCGGTGAGGCCGCGCACTCACCAGGTGCTCCCGGTAGAGCTCCAGCAGGACAGCTCTGGCTCCTGAGTGCCTAGCAGGCCAGTAGCTTCCAGAGTCTCCTGCTTGGGGCTGGGCAGGAACCTGGAATGGACAGAGGGGCTCTGAACATAATGCTGTTGTCAGCTCAATCCCTGGCAGGGCTAAGGTTTCAGCAGGCTGCATAGACATGGTGAGGCAGATGACGAAATGCCTCTTCTGAGATGAGACAGTGGACAAATGCAGGGCAGGAGCAATGGGTGAGGGGATGTGCCTGGCCCAGCCTCAGTTCTGTCACCACTGCAGGACAGTTTTTTTTTTTTTTTTTTTGGGGGTGGGTATTGGGTTTCAAACACAGGGCCTTGTGCATGGTTAAACAGGCACTCTACCACTTGGACCACAACCCCAGTCTCGAGTGCCCTTAAATAGCTAAATCTTGGAACTCCCTCTATAGCTGTTATCAATATCCTTATTTACAGATTAAAAGAGGAAAAGTCATTTGCCCCAGACTAGGCATCACCAGTGAAATTTAGACCCAGGACTGCTAAACCCCTCAAACCAAGAAGTCAAGAAGTTCTACTCCCAACCCTCCCACTTGGTCTTCCACTCCCCTTTCCCCCTGCTCACTGGCATGGAAGAGTCCTGGACTTGGGCAGGAGACCCTTCCCTGGATGGACTCTTTTCTCCAGACGGTGGGACTGGGGCAAGGTCACCTGCGGGAGAAGAAAGTGAATTCCGCACCCCAGGGAATCCAGCACCTAACCGGGAGAGTGCAAGATGCAGTCCAGTCGTGTTGTGTGTGAGCACTCTGAGGCCCAGTAAGCGCCAACCATCAGCCTCAGGTCAAACAGCAATTAGGATGGAAGTGGAGAGCCGGAAGTCAAAGTATCCAAGGTGGGCACCTGCGGGAGGGAGGCGCTCACCGCCGGATGCTCCATGCTGCTGTAACCGCTCGTCCAGCATCCGACAGAGTCCGTCTCCGAAGTGCTGGAGGATCTTAGCTTCCTTCCCGCTGCGGAGGGGCAGCGGGTACCGGCGGAGGGAGCGCAGCGCCTGGGAGTAGGCGGGAAGGGACAGGGAACTCCGTGAGGCTCTTTCGGCAGGGGCTGCACCTGTCCGCAGCCGCCCCAGCCGGAACTCACCTTCTGAAACACGAAGCGAGTGCGGCGCCCCCTGCTGGCTGCCTCGTCCCTCCACTCGGTCAGCCAGCGCACAAAGAGTGGGTTGGGGCAAGCCGGCAGCGGGCGCTTCCGGCCCAGGCGAACCGGCGCCGCCATGAGCCCCAGGGCGGGTCCTCTGGCGCCTCAAACCCGTGGGATTGGGACGCCGCCAGTGCTGGAGTCACGACTGGAACACCTGGCTGGGGGGCGGGACCTCTCCGATCACGTGGCCCCAGCGGGGCACAAACTAGAGTTTTGCCTCAAACCGCCTTAAGCCGCCCCTGCCTTACTCTTAAAAGGCTGGAGCCGAGGACGATCTCCATTCCCCTTCACCACCCTCTCCCCCCCCCCACACACCCCGTCAACCCTTTGGACGCGCCCCACCCAGGCTACGGAGCTTTGACCCGCCCCTTCCTCTCACCCCAGATTCGAGAGCGGGGTCGTCTTCGTGCAGGCAGTAAGGAAGAGGACAGCGCCACCTGCGACTGGGAGGGCTGCTGGCCCGGCTTAGTTAACCTGAACTTGGCTGCTCCAAGGTCTCTAAGGCTGTCAGATTCAGCCTCACCGTTGCAGAGGTAGCTGGAGAAAGACTGGGCTTGACGAGAGTGGTGGTGGGGGGTGAACAAACGAGTTCGAGTATATTGTAGGTGAGACATTCAGGAAGGAGCGCAGAGAAAGAAAAGTACGGCCGGAGTAGCTGAAAGATCTGAGGAATGGTGATCCCAAACTGTGTGTGTTTGGCGGCACGAAGTCGGGGATGTGGACAGGAGGTAGATAGACCGGGGTGTGAGGTGGGCAGAGGACCAATAGAAGGATGACTGTAACAGGTGCTGCTGGCAGGTGGGGAGACCTGAGACGGGCACGTGGTCGCACCCCAGGAAGTAGGCTAGTAGACAGGGAGGCGAGAACATTTCGTTTTTGCAGCTCAGTGGAAGTGGAGGGCCCTCAGGGAAGTTGAGGATGGAAAACCTGCAGACATCCCAGGATGAATTGAGCACAGGTCTAGCCAGAGGTTTGAGCAGCCTCCGGCTTCCAGCTGTCATGTCGGAAGTCGCCAGGCGCAGTTCTTTGGCTCGTGAGGAGAGTAGGAGGGCCGGAGCGCCAAGCCCGTCCCTTCACACTCCACCTAGACTGCAGCCCCTCATCCCAGCCCGGCTCAGGCGCCCGCCTCCTGCCCGACACAGCCTTATAAGGAGCCTGAAGCCAGCGTTATGGCTGGCTCCGCCCCATCTAGTCTCTTGTCCTAATAAGGACATCTAGGGCATTCCGCGGCCGGGGGCGGAAGGAGCGCGTCTCTAGGGTAACTGCGAAGCTCCCTCCCCCTCCTTGTTGCTCTGGGAAACCGAGAGGCTCCAAAAGGGTGGAGCTAGACGGCTCTTCTCGCCAAGACGTTTGGGGAACCCTGGAAGGTCAAGCTATTGCCTTCTCCTGGAGCTCCTCGAGCTCGGCCGTGGGCAGTGCGGCGGGATTTTTGACTACAACCCCCAGTATGCTCTGCGAAACACCCCATTCCCAGGCGTTGCAAACTGTTTCCACTCTTTATTCGGCCTTTGGAACAAGGTGCCAGTTCCGTTTGCTTCTGACTCGTGCGTTCTCTTCCTGCAATGTGAGGCCATGGTCATTGTTTCAAGGCCAAGGAAATCTTCCTGGAGTCCCCAAATTCCTTTATTTTAGGCTCATGCATATATAGTATCTTTTTGTATTAGAATAACCATAAACATAAACCTAAGAACTCGAGAACTAAGTTCAATTCTTCCTCTTCAAACTGCCTGGTTAAAAGACAAAGTCTTAAACGCACAATCTCCTGCCTATACCTGTTCTTGCTCCAAGACTTTGCCTAACACCTTTAAACAAAAATAAAGCTCTCCTTGTAGCCTTTCCCCTGTGTTTCTCCTCTTATTTTACTGAGTTATATATGACCTTTTCTTAGGAGACAAGAGTGGCTGTGCTCATTTATCTAGGATACCAGATTATTGCTTTGAAGACACCTTTATACTTGCGATTTTCCTTGCTTTAGAATCCAATTCTAGCCCATTGAGTAGTTGCTTTGTTTCAGACAAAGCAAAATCCTAACCCTCAAAAATTTCAGATCTGAGAACCAGAAAGTGCCAGATGGGCCATAGAAAAAAACCATTTCGTTCCGGGATAAGGAGCCGCGGGATCCAGAACAGTTTTCGGGGCATTTTTCTGAGCGGTGGGCCTACAGCTCAGCGTTTCCTCCTAAGTTCCACCAATGGGCTCACACTGCGCGCCATCGCCCCACCCCCTCGGCCTACATTTCCCCGTAGGCACTGCGAAGCTGGGAGGCAGGCACCACTACAGACTGTTACCCAACGAACCAGAGGAAGGTGGAAGGCTCTTGGACTCTGTTTCCCATCGGCCCGCGCGGGGAGCGCCGGAAGCCCGCCCCGCCCCTCATTGTGCGGCTCCTACTAAACGGAAGGGGCCGGGAGAGGCCGCGTTCAGTCAGATCCCGGCAGCAGCTGCGGCGGCTCTGGTCTTCTCTGGCTCTCTTTGCCATCTCCTTTTCGTTTCCGGAAACATGGTGAGCAGTAGGCTATGGCTTCCAAGGGGAGGCGGCTGCGAGTCGGTCGCTTGCTTGTTCGCCGGGATCAGGGGAGCGATATCGGCACCCCCTCCCCCAGCACCCGAAACAAGATGAGGGTCTCGCATCGATCAGCGGCCGGCCCTGGGCCGCGCCTGCGCGTCCGCGGGTACTGGGAGAGGTCGGGTCGGACGTCGCTCGCGCGCCCCCTGGACTTCTTTCCCCTCCCCCACCCTGCTGGTGCGCCCGCGCGGACACCGGCCGTGGGGGAGGGGTCCAGGACGCGCCAGTGCGCGCCCCTCGCTGAGCAGCGGCGTCGCGCGTCTTTTCACGAGGGCGCGTGCTCGAGTGGAGCACGCGGCGTCCAAGCCCGGCCCGAGGGCGGCGAGGGAAAAGCGCGCGAGAGGTTTCGGTGCGCACGCCCCACCCAAAGGCCGTTCCTTTCTTCGCATCGCCCTCCCTCTGCGGGCTGGTCGGTCTCTAGAGCAGGTGGCAGGGATGCCGGCGCCCAGCGAAGGATGGGGGCGGTGCGGCTATGGGAGATGCTGTGGCGCCGAGGTCCTGGTGGGGCACCAGTGCCCATGCGTAGGAGTTTCCACCGCAGGTCCAGGGGCGAACCCCGCAGAGGCCATAGCCCTGCTCAGGAGCGAGAGGACATACAGCGAGTTGAGTTCTCGCTTGTACCTGGGGCGATGGTCGGAACGGGGCTGCCGACCAGCGTGCGCGCACACGCTCAGGCCCAGCCCGGGACAGATGTTCAGGACTAGCGGGGCCTTTGGCTTTCCCGGATGGGGCCTGAGGGTGGAGCCGAATTTAGGGAAGTGACCCAGGCGGGCACCGCCCGGAAATCATTCTGCTTCATATGTTTAGCTCGAGGGCTTCGAGAGCTGTAGCATGTACAATTTGCCCAAACTACCGCCCGAAGCTGACAGGCCGAGATGCCTGTCCTTAGAGCCGGTTCCTTGGGCGTTGAGGCTCTGGAGGTGCGGCTGCCTCTCGGGTGCGGGTTTCTCTCTTGGGGAGAGGGCCGGGCCTAGCCCTGCTCCTTTCCCCTCCCACTCCGGAAGCAACCGCGTCACGTGGCCAGCTTCCTCTGCAGTTCGGTGGGGCGGGGGGAGTTTCATAGAGGACAGGCACTCTCTGGTGTAGTGCTTCCCCCAGCACCATGCAGGGTAGGGGTTTCGGGGATTCTGGGCCCTTGTTCTCCCTGTTAATTTCCGTCACCCATCTCTAGGATTCAAAGGGTAGGAAGTTCTCCTGAAGATCCTACTTGGGGGTTGTGATTCTTGTCCCGAAAAGATCCCCAGCATGGCAGGGAGTCGTTTGTGTAATAATTGCGTCTAGCGGCTTTGATGGGCATACTGGCACTGTTGTCTTGTCTCGGGTGTGGGGTCCTGGTTTCCTCTTTGCCTAAGAGGAGACCGTAGCCTGAGTGGCCCTTCTATCTGAAATTTGAAGTTAGCGCTTATATTTGAAGGCTGGGATTGAGTACTGTAAAAACCCAATCACTCTGTGGGTTCTAATTCTGGGTTCACAGCTCGATGAAAGTTTTGTTTTTAACAAGTCTGTAGTTTCTTGCCTGTAAATCAGAGTGGGGATGTTAAACTAGGTGATCCAGGTCTCCTCCATGCAAGGGTTGGTGTCCCATCTGGTCCTTTGGATGGGAAAATAGTGACTTGCCTTGGCAAGGGAGTAAGTGACCTCTTGCAATGTAGGACTGAGAGTTGTACCTTTTGGCATCTAGACTAAGATCTCTTGAGCCTGGAAAGGAGAGATTTCAGGGGACAGTTTGCTGGGAATCTTTTCTTTAGGTGTGTCTGGCTTACCTTTATCCCTCAGGCCTCTGGTGTGGCTGTCTCTGATGGCGTTATCAAGGTGTTCAATGACATGAAGGTGCGCAAGTCCTCCACGCCAGAGGAAGTGAAGAAACGCAAGAAGGCAGTGCTGTTTTGCCTGAGTGAAGACAAGAAAAACATCATTCTGGAGGAGGGCAAGGAGATCCTGGTAGGCGATGTGGGCCAGACTGTGGATGACCCCTACGCCACCTTTGTCAAGATGCTGCCAGACAAGGACTGTCGATATGCTCTCTATGATGCAACCTACGAGACCAAGGAGAGCAAGAAGGAAGACCTGGTGTTCATCTTCTGGTGAGCTACTCATGAGGCACTTTTGCCTGTCACCCATTCTTTTTCTCAGGAGGGGAGCTGGATAGATGTCTTCCTGGTTAGCCCAGAGGTACCAGTTGGAAGGGGTTGTAACAAACACTTGTCATTGAGGAGCTTGACAACATCCCCAATGTTAGAAGCCATCCTCCAAGGGTTTCTTGAGGTTCTCTATTGTCTGAGGGAAATTGCTCCCTGACTTCTCTCCAGGGCCCCTGAGTGTGCACCCCTTAAGAGCAAAATGATCTATGCCAGCTCCAAGGACGCCATCAAGAAGAAGCTGACAGGTTGGTAATGGTGGAGCCTTCTGCATGATCCCTGGCTACAGGGTGGGGTAAATGACAATGGCAGGGGGCTGGATCTTGTCCCTTTCATCTGTTCTCCTGGCTGCTTCCCAAACACAGAAACTCCCTACTTCAGTGCTTTCCTGCTCACAGATGATCCTTTTTGTCCCCTACAGGGATCAAGCATGAATTACAAGCAAACTGCTATGAGGAGGTTAAGGACCGCTGCACCTTGGCAGAGAAGCTGGGGGGCAGTGCTGTCATCTCCCTGGAGGGCAAGCCTTTGTGAGCCCCCTCCAGCCCCCTGCCTGGAGCATCTGGCAGCCCCAGACCTGCCCTTGGGGATTGCAGGCTGCCCCCTTCCTGCCAGACCAGAGGGGCTGGGGGGTATCCCAGCAGGGGGAGGGCAATTCCTTCATCCCAGTTGCCAAACAGCCTCCCCACCCCCTGGACCTTCCTCCTCCCTCCATCCCTGACGGTTCTGGCCTTCCCAAACTGCTTTTCATCTTCTGATTCCTCTTGGGTTGAAGCAGACCAAGTCCTCCCCAGACACCCAGTTTTGGCGGGGGGGCTGTATTTTTTTTAACGACACCCCTACTCCCCCACCT